CCCCCCCCATCCCGCACCACTGCCCCCCTTCCCACTTAGGCATAAATAACCACTGCCGCAAATGTAGCTCTATTGCGCTTATTGTCGTGAAGTCAGCTCCGTGGTGCGCGCGAGGTTATAGTCAGCACCTCTCGTCGTCTTTAAGGAAGCAGAATTTTAAACATCTCAAAGTTGTGTATAAAGAAGATCGTTAATTTTTTTTTAAATTTACACAGTAAGTTTACTCTAGACACTCTACGTTTATTCTGTGTAGGTATTTTTATACTAAAGGACAGATATGGGTATTAAACCCAGACGACGTACCGTCTAGTGAAATATGTAGAGGGATTAGTAGATGACAGGATGTCAGGACTCGTTGAGTACAACAATCGCGGTGTATTAATAGATCTAGTTAGACACATTACTGGTGTTAAATCTATCTCACTTAGGAGTACTTGATCGCTGAAAAGCTCACAATATATCTATAACGATTGTGAAAAATTGATTTAGACTTATAGACCGGTGCGTAAAGTCCTTGTTAGAGGATTTAGGTTTTGTAAAGGATAACCTCGTATCGATAGAAGTTAGTTTAGGGGATAATAAGCTTGCAGTGATAACGTTTAAAGGAAGAGGAGTGTCTGCAGTCGGAAATATAGGAAGGATCCCCCCACACCCCTCCCCTCAATCAAGAAACAAGACATCAGTGAAGTTAGGAATGCCACGAAATTGCATCGATTTTCGTTTCATGGCTAAGCGGATGTGCTAACAATATGTACTTCGATGGTTCGTACATTTGACAGCCCTAGTAAGCTAGAAGGACGGGAGGAAGGAAGGGAGGGAGAGTGTGAGATTCACTTGGTAACTTATACCAAAAATTGGAGCCCCCTTTCCGTTTATTGCAAATGAAATCCTTAGTCGAGTCCTTTTCAAATTTGCTCAGAGTTTTAAGTTTAAAAGTTTTATAAAACTAAATAAAATGCGCCTGGAAATTTTTTTGTGGTTCCCCTTTTTAAGGTCGCCTTTTTTACGAAACCCCTTCAAATCCCATCACCCCCTCCCTTGATACAAAATGTACTGTTCCCAATGAATCATAGCGTAGAGCAGTTTATATAGCTGATCTCCAGACTACATGCTATCAAAGCTTTTACACAACTTTATCTAATTGATAATACGATATAAATCGCTCTGAAGGGGTTGAATAAACCCAACACTCCCACTTTCTGGCAGATCTAGTGTTGACACAGGCATTTCTGTACAGCTATTTTAAGAACATTTGATGTTTGAACTCTCAACCCCTAATTCCCTCAAGATCAACTTTCATCAAGGCTGTCTTCTGCTTTTATTTTTATAGCAATGTTTACTCAAGACTCAGAGTTAATTCACAACGGTTTCTAATCTTGTCCCTTTGAGAGGATGTGTTTTTCGTTTACCTTCTTTGACATGTCGTTGGTTTGCATAGCCGCCATCTTGGATGAGTTTGACAAGAAGCTTGTCATGAACCTAAATCATTGTAATATACATTATATTACACATAAGAAAGAATTCAGTTCTCAAAAGCAAAAGGACTTTCTTGGCCTGGGCCCGGTTGTACGAAGGGTGGATAGCTCTATCCGCTCTATCCGACGGATAAATCTTATCCAGTGGATAAATTTATGGATAACAGCATCGATTTATCCACTGTATAAGGATTTATACGTCGAATAGCGCTATCCCAGATTCGTACAACCGGGGCATCTCACTACAAGCAGCGCAAGCAGTATTGTGGGGAAGAGCACGCGATGGTGCAAAACCTCTGTCGTACTTTTGTTTTTTCGAATGATGGCTAGCTACGTTTTCTTTTTTGATGTGTTTTAGGACATTTAAGGCGCGCGTTGCCCAATCTCCACCCCTACCCACTTGGTATAATTCAACGTGCTTTTGAAACGATGTAATTTTATGTTTCAGTGTATCAGAAAATGGCTGCTGGGAGAGCAAAGCACATGTCCCACGTGTAGGGTACACGCACTGTTACCGGACGAGTTCCCAAGACTCAAGTAAATAGTCTAGAATCCTTTACTAAAACCATAAACAGTTAACACAATTAGTCTAGTTAATCCTTTTATAGTACAGATTTCGTGTAAAACATGACTGAAATGATCTTGCGACAATGGACACTAGAGAAAAACGTTTGCGCATGCGTGCATTTCAGCACGTTTTCTAAGAATTTTGAAGAGTTTGAGTGAGAAAATAAATGTTTGTTTTCTCCAAGTATACAAAAAAGTTCGAGAATATACTTTTGCCAGACCAAGATACTGTATTAGAAAACACAATATGAGACAATTAGCCTTAAGTTTCAAGCGTGGACACTAAGTTTTGGCATTTTGTGAAGTCCAATTTATCAGGCATGTTTGAAAGTCAAATTTACTTATGTTTTGACTAATTTGCATACGGATTTAGAGCATGCGCAGACGTTTATCACTCGTGTCGCGACAATGATCTAGCTTGTAGTGACGTGACAGTACGTGAGCATTCTGATTGGTTCAGTGGATGATGTCATTCTACGCCGCTTTTGTGTCGTGCCGCATTATTTTACAGTTCTACGAAATCTCCTATTTTCACTTTGATAGAACAATTGTTAGATAAGAGAAGATAATTTAAGAAGCACTTGATTTTCTTTAGTTTTAATCTCGCTATTTTGTAGACGGGATTTCAAAGATATCACAGATTAAAGTTACGAAAGCGTCATAATCTTTGTATTTTATATAAACAATTTACGGTCAAACTAAGAAAACCGTGAACACCTAAAATATGTCTGGAATGTTAAACATCGTGTTTTGACCAATCACATGCGAGAATGAATTCATTTCTAATTGACTGTCGCATGTGATTGGTCAGAACACGATGTTTAACATTCCACGGTTTTCTTAGCTTTTAAATGTAAAAGTATGATGACGTCATAATCTTTATATGTTATATGACGTCATTATTTTTAAACAAAGATATATAACTTCATAACCTTTGCATGCTATATGACGTCTTTATTTTTAAACACCCATTAAAGATATGACAACATCTAGCCTAGTCCCCAGGCTGACGGAGTATCCTGGGGACGAACCTAGATAACGTCATAATCTTTGCATTTTTATTTTTAAACAAAATCTTAAGTGAATTGTTAATTTGGAATAGTTGATGTTTTAAAAATTATAACTTTGTAAAGTAATTATGACACTGTCTTTTTTCACGTTTCTGTATCCAGTTGAAAAAAGTAATTTGGTCTACCTGTGGTGACACCCGCAAGGCTAAATGCGCAATTATACGGAGCAATTTTCGGCGATGCGACACAAGTGGCATGGGGCATTGCAGCGTGCAACCGACGGCACAATTTGAAAAAAAATGTTGCGAGACAAGTTGCAGCGATTGTTTCAAAAAGTAGAATTCGTTTCTACTTTGGACAACGATTACGTCTCCGTGTAGTCTCCCCCACAGCCGCTTTCAGTGTCGTCACGCAACGCTTTCTCCCCTGAGTAGAAATCGTTGCGTGACGACACTGAAAGCGGCTGTGGGGGAGACTAGTCTCCGTTTAAACACGGATGATCCCAAATTGAAAACATCTGTGTTTATTCAACCCTTGTAGTTATGTTGGCTAAGTGAAGGATAATTTTCGCGCCATTCCGGCTGGTTAACATGACTGGCTTACATTCCCAGCATAACACGTGTTATCTGAATCTAGTGTTTCATGTCTCGCGGTACTAGCGCGCAAACCAGATATCCGCGAAATAGCACAATGCAATTGGTCTGGTAACCGGCATATTTTACATTTTTAAGGAGTGTCTGGTTAACTAGAGGTCGTGTGGAGACCGAAGGATTCTTCTTAAAAAATGTCTTAATGCGAGGCTAACATGAAAAAGAAAAAGAAAAAAACCAACAAAAGAAATGTCACAAATCCCATCGAGAAAGTGTGATTTCTTTTGTAGCTCCATGTTAGCCTTCGTTTGCACTTAAAAGCCGGTCGAGACGGTACGATTTTCGCCTACAACTATCGTACACAACACGTTCGCGCCATCCTAGAACTCGAGTGGTAACGTGTAAATCAAGCCTACAACTCGCCTACGACAGACGCGAGAGCGTGTTGTATACGATAGTTGTCGGCGAAAATCGTACCGTCTAAATCGGCCATCAAAGACATCACGGCCATGTTGGTGGTATTTTTTATTACCCCCTATTCAGTGTCAATACCATCAACATGGCCGCCATGTGTTTGTTATTTGATTTTCTTGGGATTACTTGAAAACCATCAATTCAATTTATTGAATCAGTTCGTGACTCGAGGTTGAACCTGATGTATTCATACTTTTACTCTATTTTATCAAGTCCAAGCAAGGGAATTCGGAAAAGGTGCTTTGTGACCCAAAAGGGCCAGATAAAAAAAATTGGTACAATGAGGGAAGCCAAAAATAGTCGCTGTAATTACGTTGTGATATTCGGTGCGAATTATAATGGAATATTTTGCGCATGCGAAATAATGCTGTGTTATTACGCGTGTACGTCCGCTCATAAATTACCACAGTCCACCTTGTCTCCGGCAAAAAAAAAAAAAAAAAAAAAAAGACGTCTGCTTCCGGTTTAAATGGGGTGTTTGTATTAGGCGATTAGGACTGAATAGCAGCATGCAGTCGAAAACTATAGACCGCTGACACGTTGTGGAGAATCGGCTGGCCCCGTTTTCTGTAAGGAGTATCATATCAGGCCCCTCCGCCCCTTAGAGAGCCTGATAATCGGGTTACGTTCTCTGATACCGAGATGCACGGATCGACAATAAGAAAACTAGCTAATTAGGAGAAAAAGAGAGAAAGGAAAAAGAAAGACACTCAGACACGACTGACAAAATGACAGTCAACGCATGCTAAGAAGGGTCCCAAAGAACATTGAAAAGAAGAATCAACAGCAAACAAACAGACCACCACACTAAACTGTGATAACAACGAAGACTGAGGCATCGAATTAATACTTGGGAGCCGGTTGTCGGAAGCGTATTAAAATAAAGTCTGATCCACCGGATAAATCCTCATCCAGCGGATAAACGTAACGTGCAAACGAAGAATATTTATCCTCTGGGTTTTATTCACTATGGATGAGTTTTACGGCAAATCACAAAGCGCGCGTTTTTCTCAGTCAGTGTTAGTCCCCTCGGCCGCATTGAACTTTGCAACTAGCTGATTTATCGGGTCAGCCCTCCTTGGTTAGATAAGACTTGACACATACCAGACCCGACCGCCTTTGTAGCCGAATCCGATTACATAAAGTCAGCCGAAACGTCAACAAAGATTCCTTCCTAAGTCATTCTGAAATATATACATACAACATTTATACTTGAATTATAACAACAAAACTTCACATCCTGTTAATTAAATCAATCTCACTTTTTACCATCTAAAAACAAGATATTCAAATTTGAAAAGATTGGTCTAATTTTTGTCGACATTCAAGAAATACTCTACGCAAACGACAAAATCTGAAGTCTGCAATTATTAATAATATTGATTCTCGAAAATTAAAAACATTTTCAACAGTTAAAATAAACAAAAAATAAGATGCTTTCCTGTCGTTCTTTTGCAATTACTTGTTTTGTTATTATGATTTGTGTTCGAGTGGTTTTAACGCGGATTTGTAGTCGTAGCAAATTTCGAGACAGCCTTTTACTCGGATCAAAGATTTTCACTTATCATCGACTCCAAGAAGCACGCTATCAATTTGCTAATGCATTACTTTCTATTGAACATGAACTGCCGCTAGGCATTGCTAATTCTATTATCTTCAAATATAAATGGGATGTTTTGATATTCCTGTCGAAGTCCCGCTGTTTTAGTCTTTTGTCTTCCATACTAGATTTCAATTGAAGGCGTTATTTGCAATAATATTTGAATTTCGAAATTCAAATTTAGAGAAAAAGCTTTTTCATGAGCGATTTGGCGTGTTTGTCTTGCAGTGATAGCGAAGGATTTTGTGCGATGGAATACTAGACATTAATAAGCAGTTGAAACAATAACGGAGTATTGTTTGAAACACCTTTTTCACACCCTTGATTGCCTGTTAAAATACATATAGTATTATTTATCTGTTATCTGTTTGAAGAATATCATAAAGTCTTGAAATCTTCCCATTTTTGTCCTAAGATTACGAAAACTTTATCCCAAATCATGATCAATGGTGAATTTACAAAACAATGATTACCTTAGTATTACAAATCACTGGCCATGACCCTAGCAATAAACGCGTTCCCAACTTGTAAACATATTACAGATATTGGACGAGTGGTGAGCTACGAAGTTGTAACACTTAAAAAAGCTCTCAAAAACAAAGAAAATCATTACGAATAATATTAATATCCGGAGAGAAAGTTAAGTGCACACTTCAAAAAACCGTCTAAAAATATTTATTAATTCCAGACATGAATTGAAATGAAAAACTCTAAGCTAGACTGTACTTTACAGATTATTATGGAAAGATTTGTACAACGTGGTAAGTTATAATAATAATATATGTACTTCAACAACGGAGATGGTTTTGAAAAACTATTGTCCTCACACTTTGAAGTTTATATTTCGCGCAGATTCTATTCTTCTAAGTCATGTAAAAACATCTTCCTAAAATATTACCAAAAAAACCTTGTTCCGTTGGTTTTTTGAATAGAATCTAAGGTAGATAAAGCTTATGAATTCTCGAAGAATTCTACATCAGAAAAACCATTACTAGCTAAAGAAAGCCTGTTCGATGCTTTCGAAGAAGCCAGTTCAGTGCAAACGCGCCAGAAAAACCATTCCAGTGTCAAATAGAAACCAACTAAATTCTGCGTTGATTTCATGAAACGAACAACACGTGTAGATTTCATGGGACGCAATTTTTGTTATCAGTTCATATTTGGGTATCAAGTTTTAAAAATGCGAGCAATATTTACACGCAATGTCAACAAACGTTCCTCTATCTTCCTCCAATCCTTTCAGACAGAGGTCTCTGAATTCAACTTCAGGACGAATTTGTTATTCTCAAAATCGAATTCCTCTTCCGAGAGATCAAAGTACGGGATGTCGTTGACCGTCACGACGAGAGAAAGTTGCTCATTCTTTAGTTGAAAGACGGTTGAGTTGGACAGTCCCGATGTGACTTGTTCCTCGCAAACTAAACTCCATTCTTGAGTATCTCGTGAGCTAATATACTCAATACATGGTTGTTCGCTCAAATACCGCTCCAGAAAGGCTTTAGGCGACATATCAAACGCCAGACAATGAGATAAATGTTTTAAAATGGCATCCATGTTATGCCGATGATGTTGCTTCACGGTACGAAGGTATTTCTGTAAAGGACGCGCGAATGAAGGGAACAAAGACTGAGCGGTTTCCTCCGGATCCATAGGAACAGTGGGTCCTCTGTCCAACTGAACACGTCTAACATGACCAAACGCTTCATCACACGCTGCCATTAGCCTTGCTTTGCGTCTTTTCACCTTCCTCTCAAACTCAGCTTCTTCGTAAAATCGGTCGTTTCGTCCGGGATTCCTTCGGCCTTGGGAACTCGAAGTAATGATCGCTCGAGTTCGCGGATTAATTTTACTGTTGTCGGTGAGTTTGCCATCGATATCGTAGAACTTTAGAGTCGAGAACTGTTTGGTGGCCGCACGAGCAGGAACTGACATCATATAAGGATTATACTCGGGGAAATCTTTGTAGTATTGTTCGAGCACAAATATGGCAGTCCTTTGTATAGACATCGTTCCCACCTTATAAAACTGACTCACACCATCCGTACTTCGGATGACTTTGAGGTTATACACAGGTTCTGAATGTCGAAGCCATAAAACAACCACAGACAGATAATGTAGGAATAATAAAGTGTCTAATAAAGTCGATGAAAAGTGAATAATATTCGCGAGGTTCAAGTCGTTTTTGTTGGCAATGACTCTCAAAGCGTAGAATAGCCAGTAGCACACAAGAACTAAAAACACGAGCGTCATGATCCCAACTCGCAAGACGTTGACCCTCGGCATTCTCACCCGCGTCTTTCGGAAATACAAAGCCCATATTCCTACGATTAGAACGATTTCTTTCACAGCTAGGCTCAAAAACATACCATCGCATTCGATTCCACACATCAGAGGCTTCCATAAGACCGCGGGTAAAACGATGAAAAGAATCGGTGAGATAATGAGCAGTAGACTTAAGATTCCAGCGGGGATGAGTTTGATGTTTAGACACGAAGCAAACGAAAAACGCTTCTTTTCCTTGCCAAGTTCACTAATGTCTTCCTCGCTAAGTGTCACTATAGAAGTAGCGGTTTCAGTTATGGTCGTCGCTGTTTCACCCCAGTTATCATCTTGTGGGATAACTTGGACTTCAATAACTCCTTCGTCGAGCTCTTGACTGCCATTTGTTTCATGCTCACGGCGATCCGTCTTATGGTTCTGAGAGTAATGGTCTCTATCAGGAGCCTTTCGGTAGTGATCTCTCGGCATTTTCTCTTCAAAATCAAATAAAATGCTCAAAAAAAAAGCTACACTCCTTTATCGGTCAAAGACCGAAGTTCATTAAGCATTAATGGCGAAGAATAAACCCTCTAGACTCGATCTTTTCTGCTAAGTTTGAAGACAGCGTTCACAAACCACCGAAGTATAATGTTTGGAGATCAAATGTATTCATATTCGCGTTCCGCGCGGTGCTTCTGTCAACCACACAACTGACAAGGCCATTGAAATGGTTACCCAAGGGACGCACTGATTGGTCAGATCAAAATTCATCAGAATAATTAGACTGTGTCTTTTGGGAATCAATCACAGTCACCTCGGAAGTCACGTGGGTTATTCAATAGCCTCTTTGACACCCAATCTACTCAATAATCCAAGTGATCTAAGAATCTTCCCTTTTAATGCAATTTCCAACACGTATTATTAAGAATCTTTGACATTAATCTGATGAAAAAATTTAGAAAGATTTCTAACAAAATTAGCTTCAATTAACTGTAATAAAAAAAATCAATTGACTCGAGACAGATTTTAATTATGCATTCAAGGATTTGATTTCAGACTTGATTATTGTCTAATTCGTTACGGCACTTAAAGGGTCAATTTGCAACTGGAAAATAACGTGAAAAGTAACGGAATCTTGAGCCTCTATCTATCTTTTTTTTTAAATCTTCTTTTTAAAATAGCTTTTCAAAATTGATACTTTTATCGATGTATTTTCGAAACACGATTTTCATTTCAAAATCAATTAAGCAGTTTTATCATTTTATCAACATTTTAGTCAAAAAATGAATATTCGATGTTTTTTCAGGCTCAAGTATTCAAATAGTTCGAAAGTTACGAGGAGAATTCACTTGAGATATGGCGACTGTATTCAAAATAATCGATAATCAAAACCGATAAGCATTCTTTGTTTTTAAAGATAACATTTGACAAATACAACGGACATGAAGGTTTTTGCTCAAAATCCATCGTCAACTTAACTAACTTAAACTGTTGTTGAACTCGAAATTCGAAGAAATTAACGCGTTATTTAGTTTAAATACGATTCATAACAAGATTCAAACCTTTGTTTTTCCGAGGAAGCCTAATTTGTTTAGGAATAGATGGAAGCATGAATACCCCCCCCCCCCCCCCCCCCC